CCAAGTACCCAACCCCCTAATCCCACAACCCCCTAACCCCCAACCCTAAACCCCCAACCCTAACCCCCCAACCCTAACCCTAACCCCCTAACCTAACGGCTCTAACCCTAACCCTAACCCTAACCCCATGGACCCCCCTGGTGCGCCCCGCAAATGCGTCCCCCCGGAAACAAAACCCCGCACACTTGGTTCCCCCCTCATTTTGGTTCCCCCCCCCGGTGCGCCCCACAAAAGTGTCACCCCGGAAACAAAGCCCCGCACACTTGGTTCCCCCCTCACTTTGGTTCCCCCCCCGGTGCGCCCCCAATGTGTCCCCCCGGAAACAAACCCCAAATGCATGTCCCCCCTGGCCCCCAAAGTTCAAAAACCCGCACACTTGGTTCCCCCTCACTTTGGTTCCCCCCCCCCGGTGCGCCCCACAAATGTGTCCCCCCAGAAACAAAACCCCCACACTTGGTTCCCCCCTCATTTCGGTTCCCCCCCCCCGGTGCGCCCCACAAATGTGTCCCCCCGGAAACAAAAACCGCACACTTGGTTCCCCCCTCACTTTGGTTCCCCCCCCCCGGTGCGCCCCACAAATGTGTCCCCCTACCTACCCCCAACCCTAACCCCTAACCCTAACGGATCTAACTCTAATCCTCTAACCCTAACGCCCAAACCCCCTAACCCCCTAACCCTAACGGATCTAAGCCTAACCCTAACCCTCTACCCTAACCCCCCAACCCCTAACCCCCAACCCTAACGGATCTAACCCTAACCCTCTAACTCTAACGCCCAAACCCCCTAAAACCCCTAACCCTAACGGATCTAAGCCTAACCCTAACCCCCCAACACTAACAGATCTAACCCTAACCCTCTAACCCTAACCCCCCATCCTAACCCCCCAAGTACCCAACCCCAACCCCCAAACCCCCTAACCCCCAACCCTAAACCCCCAACCCTAACTCCCTAACCCTAACGGATCTAACCCTAATCCTCTAACCCTAACGCCCAAACCCCCTAACCCCCTAACCCTAACGGATCTAAGCCTAACCCTAACCCTCTAACCCTAACCCCCCCAACCCCCTAACCCCCAACCCTAACGGATCTAACCCTAACCCTCTAACCCTAACGCCCAAACCCCCTAACCCCCTAACCCTAACGGATCTAAGCCTAACCCTAACCCCCCAACCCTAACCCCCGACTCCCCAACCATAACCCCCTAACCCTAATGGATCTAACCCAAACCCTAACCCCAACCCCCTAACCCCCCAACCCTAACCCCCTGACCCTAACGGATCTAACCCTAACCCCCCAACCCTAATAGATCTAACCCTAACCCTAATCCTCTAATCCTAACCCCCCAACCCCTAACCCCCCAAGTACCCAAACCCAACCCCCAAAACCCCTAACCCTAACCCCCCAACCCCCTAACCCCCCAACCCTAAACCCCCAACCCTAACCCCCGACCCCCCAACCCTAACCCCTAACCCTAACGGATCTAACCCTAACCCCCAACCCTAATAGATCTAACCCTAACCCTAATCCTCTAACCCTAACCCCCCAAACCCTAACCCCCCAAGTACCCAACCCCAACCCCCAAACCCCTAACCCTAACCCCCCAACCCCCTAACCCCCAACCCTAAACCCCCAACCCTAACCCCCGACCCCCCAACCCTAACAGATCTAACCCTAACACTCTAACCCTAACCCCCCAAACCCTAACCCCCAAGTACCCAACCCCCTAATCCCACAACCCCCTAACCCCCAACCCTAAACCCCCAACCCTAACCCCCCAACCCTAACCCTAACCCCCTAACCCCATGGACCCCCCCGGTGCGCCCCACAAATGAGTCCCCCCGGAAACAAAACCCGCAAACTTGGTTCCCCCCTCACTTTGGTTCCCCCCCCGCTGCCCCCCACAAATGTGTCCCCCCGGAAACAAAAACCCGCACACTTGGTTCCCCCCTCACTTTGGTTCCCCCCCCGGTGCGCCCCACAAATGTGTCCCCCCAGAAACAAAACCCCGCACACTTGGTTCCCCCCTCATTTTGGTTCCCCCCCCCTCCGCCCCCCCGTTGGGGTCCCCCCTAGCCCCATGGACCCCCTCCCCGGTGCGCCCCGCAAATGTGTCCCCCCGGCAACCGCACCCCGCAAACTTGGTTTCCCCCTCATTTTGGTTCCCCCCCACCCTTGGGGTCCCCCCAAGCCCCATGGACCCCCGCCCCCTTGGTGCCCCCCCCCCCATTTGTCTCTCCCCCCGTCCTACCCGTGCCCGCAGCAGCCGCTCGCACTCTGCCAGCGCCTTCCGCACCCGATGCTGCATCTCGGCCAGGTGGAGGCAAGCGCTGGAGGGGGGGGAATAAATTGGGGGGGGTCAATTTGGGGGGGTCTGGGGGCATTTTGGGGTTGGGGGCGCATTTAGGGGGCGGAGGGGACTGGTTCTCACCTGTAGGACTCGGCGTCGAGCCCCCCCGGGGGCAGCTGCAGGGCCAGGATGCCTGGGGCGGTGCGGGGGGGGCATGTCAGCACCCCCCAGACCGAAACCCCAAAACCGCTGCCCTTGACCCCAAAACCGCCGCCGTTGACCCCAAGGTGGCCGCTGGTGACGCCGGTAGGGCCACCGGGCGCCCCGCGGGCCACAAGTACCCAACCCCAACCCCCAAACCCCCTAACCCTAACCCCCCAACCCTAACCCCCGACACCCCAACCGACCTAACCCTAACCCTAACCTCTAACCCAACCCCCAACCCTAATCCCCTAACCCTAACGGATCTAACCCTAACCCCCCAACCCTAACAGATCTAACCCTAACCCTAATCCTCTAACCCTAACCCCCCATCCTAACCCCCCAAGTACCCAACCCCAACCCCAAACCCCCTAACCCTAACCCCCCAACCCCCTAACCCCCAACCCTAACCCCCTAACCCTAACGGATCTAACTCTAATCCTCTAACCCTAACGCCCAAACCCCCTAACCCCTAACCCTAACGGATCTAAGCCTAACCCTAACCCTCTAACCCTAACCCCCCAACCCCCTAACCCCCCAACCCTAACGGATCTAACCCTAACCCTCTAACTCTAACGCCCAAACCCCCTAAAACCCCCTAACCCTAACGGATCTAAGCCTAACCCTAACCCCCCAACACTAACAGATCTAACCCTAACCCTCTAACCCTAACCCCCCATCCTAACCCCCCAAGTACCCAACCCCAACCCCCAAACCCCCTAACCCCCAACCCTAAACCCCCAACCCTAACTCCCTAACCCTAACGGATCTAACCCTAATCCTCTAACCCTAACGCCCAAACCCCCTAACCCCCTAACCCTAACGGATCTAAGCCTAACCCTAACCCCCCAACCCTAACCCCCCAACCCTAACCCCCGACTCCCCAACCATAACCCCCTGACCCTAACGGATCTAACCCTAACCCCCCAACCCTAATAGATCTAACCCTAACCCTAATCCTCTAATCCTAACCCCCAACCCCTAACCCCCCAAGTACCCAAACCCAAGCCCAAACCCCCTAACCCCCCAACCCCCTAACCCCCCAACCCTAAACCCCCAACCCTAACCCCCTAACCCTAACGGATCTAACCCTAACCCCCCAACCCTAATAGATCTAACCCTAACCCTAATCCTCTAACCCTAACCCCCCAAACCCTAACCCCCCAAGTACCCAACCCCAACCCCCAAACCCCCTAACCCTAACCCCCCAACCCCCTAACCCCCAACCCTAAACCCCCAACCCTAACCCCCGACCCCCCAACCCTAACAGATCTAACCCTAACACTCTAACCCTAACCCCCCAAACCCTAACCCCCCAAGTACCCAACCCCCTAATCCCACAACCCCCTAACCCCCAACCCTAAACCCCCAACCCTAACCCCCCAACCCTAACCCTAACCCCCTAACCCTAACGGCTCTAACCCTAACCCTAACCCTAACCCCATGGACCCCCCTGGTGCGCCCCGCAAATGCGTCCCCCCGGAAACAAAACCCCGCACACTTGGTTCCCCCCTCATTTTGGTTCCCCCCCCCGGTGCGCCCCACAAAAGTGTCACCCCGGAAACAAAGCCCCGCACACTTGGTTCCCCCCTCACTTTGGTTCCCCCCCCCGGTGCGCCCCACAAATGTGTCCCCCCGGAAACAAAAACCCGCACACTTGGTTCCCCCCTCACTTTGGTTCCCCCCCCCCGGTGCGCCCCACAAATGTGTCCCCCCAGAAACAAAACCCCACACACTTGGTTCCCCCCTCATTTTCGTTCCCCCCCCCCTTCCGCCCCCCCGTTGGGGTCCCCCCTAGCCTGGGAGACTCAAATGTCACGACACCTGACTGGAAGCAGCTGCCAGAACTGGGATGATGGAGGCCTAAAAGGCCTGCCTTCAAGACAAGAGACCAGAAGGATGGGGAGTGAAAACCCCCTAAGAAGACACTTAGGAATTCAATTCCCAAGCAAGAGCTCCTGATGCGGCCCAGATGACTTCTGCAACAGTGAGGATGGAAACAGACGCGATCTCAAACCGAGTATGATGCACAAGACCTGAAACAGATCCCCACTTCAAGCAGCGATTAAAGACAAGAAGTGCTCAGATCAGAGTCATGATGACAAAACAAGCATTGAGGCCCTTCAGCACAGCTACCAAGTCGCCTGTCTGGTCAGTCCAGTGTCAAAAGCCAGGAGGATATCAAGACCCGAGAAGCACAGAACAGACGTTGCAGAAGCAACACTACAAGACAGACAAACTGAAGGAAACTGTCCGGTCTGGCACACACACTCACACTACAAAATAAACCCGCTCCTTCTATTAGCCTGGTGACCCAGCCACAAGCAGCCTGAACGTGACCCAGCCTCAACCACCCTCACAGTGGCACCAAGTATATTCAGCCAGCTGGTTCCATGCTGCTCTGCCTCCCAGCTCCCATTAGCCACCCCAGATATGCAAATACCAGGTGGCCCCCAACTTAGCTCTCAGGTTGCTGGATGGCAAAGTCCCACCGCCTCAAGAAATGCACAGGCACTGATTGTCATCTTAGTCAATTGCCAGGCTCATCATCAGCTGCAAAAACAGAAACAGCATTCACTAGGATGCCAGCCCCATTGCTCACCTTCTCTACAATGCTGACTACTACTGATGCAACATACGATTGTGCTCACGTGTTCCTCTCCGAGTCCAAGCTCCAACAGTGCAGCCAGTATCATCCACACCACCTGGGAAAATAAAGGGATTAAATGATCGTTGCGTTCACAACAAGTCAGCCAATGGTGTTTTTTGTTGTTGTTGTTTTTTGTGTGTGTTTCCTGTATTTTTTTTTAAATCTGCCTTAGCTCAACAGCATGCAGAGCGCAAACAAGAGAACTGGGGAGTACCTAGAAGAAACAATCCTCATGCTTTTGCTGCAGCTTTGAATATTAAAAGGACAATACGACCCAGCAAGTAACTGGAACTTTCTTAACTGGAATTAGCTCAAACTTTCATTCACATTGAAAGAAAAATCCGGGAGGAGAACAGATTATACATCAACAGAATTAATTCCATTCCATCCCCAGAAAAAAAATCACATACTCTCATCCCCTCCTGTACCTCAGCCGCTTGCCTGCCCCACATGGCAGATGCTTCCATCTGTTCTCTTTCACCACTTATAGCACCTCTAAAAGGCAAACTGGAATTTTACTCTATTGGATGTAGGAAAATAACTGCAGTGACAACCGCACCCCAAAAACAACAGTTACCTCTGCTCATCACGCACCAGAGTCACTGCAGAGGCAGCTTGGGTCGAGAGGTCCTGCACTGCACACTGCACACTGCATTTCACCCTGAACAAAGGAAAGACACAGGCAGAAGATAAACATTCAGCTGCCAGCAGTAGCACCCATCCCTCAACAACATAAGCAACCCCAGCTTTACTTTTATCCTTTCAAAACAGCACTCCACTTGCCTCTGTACCTGCAAATTAGGTCCAAGCTTGAAAGGAGCGGCCAGCATCATCCACGCCACCTGGGAACACAAAAGGACAAAACGACCACTGTGCTTGCAAGCACCCACCTGCCACATTGCTCCTCTATCCCGAACAGCCTCAACTCAGACCCTCACAGGGAAACACCTGAGCGTCTTCCCTTCGCTTCGGATAAGGGATGACCAGGCTGACAACACTCACCTTCCCTCAGAGCTTCGTGACATGAGGATTTCCCTTCCCTCTCCACAACTGCACAAAGCACCTGCAGAGACAAGAGAAACGCACACTCTGAGGCACCTCACAGCCACAGCGTACCTGCTACAAGACCTCTCTCTTCCCAGCTCCGGTACTTCAGCTGCTCACCAGCTCTAACTGAGATTCTTTGCTCACAGCACCACAGCAAAATCTGCCCAGGCCACACAACACACACTACACAGGCTACATTGCCTAAGACACACAAGCTGGAACATTCCCACCCAACAATCAGTCGCATCACACAGGAAGGCTGCCATACTCTCCAAGAAACCAAACCTACCAGTCCTGAGGAGCTCCCCACCTCCTCCTGCCAACCACGCTCAGCAAACACACTATTTACTGCTCAGAAAAACAGAAACTTAAAACATACACACACAAAAAACAACTGAGCTCCACAAATGCCAAAAAGACGTGCACACACAGCAGCCTTGGCAGGGGTAATCAAACTTACCCTTTGCAGATGAAAGAGGTGACTCTGATACAACCCTGCTCAGTCTCTTGGTAATGCTGCATCTACCCTGCCAAGCCACATGTAGCATGAAATGAAGCTGGTTTTAGTCCTCTGGAAAATTACAGAAGTAGGTCTATGCATCTAGAGAATAAATTTAGCTCAAAAACAGAAGAGCATCCCACCATCCCAAAAAATAGTGAGCCAGCAGCCTCTACTAAATATCCCTCTATTAAGTGAATTCCAAGCACTTAAAAATTCTAGAAATCTATAAACTCCAGCCTGCCTAGAGAACCCTGCAACTGAATGAATGAAAACCAAAGCACTTACCCCAAGGAGCAGCCCAGGCAGAAGGAGCTCTCTGATAGCATGCCTGGGGCTCATATACCATTCAGCCCCGCCCAGCACCCAAACCCAATCACCTGGGAAAGGGGAGGGGCAAAGCACAAGGAAGTAGAAAGAAAGCAGGAGCAGCAGCAGCTGGTTTTCGTTTTCTTTATTATTTTTTTTAAGATCTGCTTTACTTGAACAATACGCAGAGAGCAGACAAGAGACCTGGGGTGTTTCTAGAAGCAACAATCCCCATGCTTTTGCTGCAGTTTTTAACATTGAAAGGACAATACGACCAGGCCAGTAACTGGAACTTTTTCAAACGGAATTAGCTCAAACAGGTTCATCATCACTTGCAAAAACAGAGAACCAGCATTCACTAGCACGCCAGCCCTGATAACCACCTCTTGGACAACGCTCACTACTACTGATGCAACATACAGTTGTGCAATGCCTCTCTGTTCAAAACTCCTTTACCTCAGCTGCTCAGTAGCTCCACATGAGAAATGGGCCCAGGCGGCGCCGCGCCGAAATGGGCCCGGGCGGCGGGGCGCTTAAATGTGCCCGGGCGGCGCCGCGCTTAAAAGTGCCCGGGCGGCGCCGCGCCGAAATGTGCCCGGGCGGCGCCGCGCTTAAAGGTGCCCGGGCGGCGCCGCGCTTAAAGGTGCCCGGGCGGCGGGGCGCTAAAATGTGCCCGGGCGGTGCCGCGCTTAAATGTGTCCGGGCGGCGCCGCGCTTAAAAGTGCCCGGGCGGCGGGGCGCTAAAATGTGTCCGGGCGGCGCCGCGCTTAAATGTGCCCGGGCGGCGCCGCGCTAAAATGTGCCCGGGCGGCGCCGCGCTTAAATGTGCCCGGGCGGCGCCGCGCTTAAATGTGCCCGGGCGGCGCCGCGCCGAAATGTGCCCGGGCGGCGCCGCGCTGAAATGTGTCCGGGCGGCGCCGCGCTTAAATGTGCCCGGGCGGCGCCGCGCTAAAATGTGTCCGGGCGGCGCCGCGCTAAAATGTGCCCGCGCGGCGCCGCGCTGAAATGTGTCCGGGCGGCGCCGCGCTGAAATGTGCCCGGGCGGCGCCGCGCTTAAATGTGCCCGGGCGGCGCCGCGCTAAAATGTGCCCGGACGGCGCCGCGCTAAAATTTCCCTACTACATTTCCCGATATGCTCTGGGCACTCAAGATGGCCTCCCGGAAGTTCGGAGTCCCAGAACTACATTTCCCGGTATGCTCTGGGCACTCAACATGGCCTCCCGGAAGTTCGGAGTCCCAGAACTACATTTCCCGGTATGCTCTGGGTACTCAACATGGCCTCCCGGAAGTTCGGAGTCCCAGAACTACATTTCCCCGTATGCTCTGAGCTCTCAACATGGCCTCCCGGAAGTTCGGAGTCCCAGAACTACATTTCCTGGTATGCTCTGGGCACCCAACATGGCCTCCCGGAAGCCTGGTGCCGGAAAACTACACCTACCAGCATTCCCTGGCCAGCCGGCATGGCCAATCACAAGCCGAGTTTTCGAGAACTACATTTGCCAGCACTCACTCTAACCGTAGCCTTTACCACCGCCCTTTCACAAGAAAGCCTCAAGCCCTAACCTTAAAAACCCTCGAAATCCCTACAGACCTAACCCAAACTATTTAACACACTAAACCCATGAAGACCTATGCCTAAAAGCCCTAACCCAAAAACTTAGGACACTCCAAACCCCATCCCGAAAACTTAGGACGCTCCAAACCTTATCCCGATAACTTAGGACGTTCCGAACCCAATCCCATAAAATAAGATGCTCAAAACCCTAACCCAACTACTTAGGATGCTCAAAAGCCTATCCCAAAAAATTAACATGCTCAAAACCCAAAAATTAGGATACTCAAAACCCTAGCCCTGGAGAACCTGACCTGAATAATAATAATAATAATAATAATAATAATATCTTAAAACCCTAACCATAAATAACTGACCAAAAATAAAACCCTAAGACCCTAACCCTAATAAGCATATCACCACTACAACCCAAAAAACTCTAAAACCTTAACATGCTAACCCTGAAACCCTTAAAACATTAACCCCCAAATCCTTAAAATCCTAACCATTAAACCTCCAACCCTAAAAACCTTAAAATCCTAAACTTAAACCCTGAAAACCCTTACCCTGAAACGCAACCCTAGTGCCCTGTCCCTAAAACCTTAAAACCGTGAATCAATCTGTAGCCAATAACACAGGCTGAGTCGAGGATTTCAGTATAGTAGAATTTTTATTCGAGATTACAATGGCAGGTGTCCCACAAGCAGGAGGGTGCCTACTAATTCCATACACAGTTTATACACTTTTTTTTTTTTCTGCCAAGGATCTGGACCCTCCCCTGTTTCCCCATTAACTGTGCTATTCAAGGTTCATAATCTATCTGGTGCTTCACAGAAAATACACAGCTGCTGGCCTGTTAGAAGTCACATTTCTTTACTAGGATCTTACTCTGTGAGGTGGTAATGTTTCTTACGCCGTGATTTCCACCTAATTGCTAAAATGTGCCCGGGCGGCGCCGCGCTAATATCCAGACAGTAGCGAGCGCGGTGATGCTACTGTGCATGTGCACAGCTGGTTGCTGTAGCACCTTATTTTAGCCACCGGGTGGCGGCAGCGAGCGCTGCAGGAGTGATGTGCATGTGCAGAGCTGGGCGCTGCAATGCCGCCTTTTGGTCATCGGGCGGCAGTAGAGAGGCCGGTGGCGTTACTCCGTATGCAGTACCCCTGCATCCATACAACCCGCGCTGCAGCACCCCTCTTTGGTCATCGGAAGGTAGTAAAGCGCGCAGTAGTGCTACTGCAACCCGGGGTGCTGCACTTCAGCGCCACAGCGACCCCACCGTGAGCTCCCCTGCACCAGCGCGCTCGAGCAGTCCCAGTCCCTCACATGCCGCTCAGCACCCTTGGGGAGAGCTGCTCTCCCACGTCCCGAGGAACGCCATGGTGCTCAAGCTTTAATAGGCTGTACTTTTGGTCCCTGTGCACAAAGCTCACCAAAAGAATTAGCATGTCATCTTATAATCTCTTTCTGTTTATCACTTTGTATCGTGGTCCTATCTCTCCTTCCACCAGTCAGCAGCAAAAAACACTCCATATTCAGAATTTGTTTGAAAGAGATAATAAACATAATACATGGTGATCAAATAAATCTAATGGAAGGAAGCCGAAGACCCTGATCTAACTCACACAAAAGAGTGGTGGGTGTTGGGGGGTTTGGGACAGGGTTTGGAGCAGTGTTACTCACTGGTGGTCTTGGGGCACCAGCTGGGGGCTTTTGGTCCAGGCTTGGAGGGGTTTGGGGGTCTCAAGGGTCAATGGTAGTTTTGGGGTAGGGTTTAGCAGCTTGCGTGGTTTTGGGGGCTGGTTTGAGGGATGTCTGCAGTCTTGGGGAAGAGACCTTGTGCCAGCAGTAGGGCATTGATTTTTACTATTTTTTCCCCATAACGAGATTTTTTCACAGATGCATCAATGAGCAATGCCATATAATGCCAGGATGGAGTTCCAGCAAAGACTGAGGAGCTGAGATACATGGCCTGCCAGAACATTGCTCAGTAGCGACTGCTAGCCTTTTTTTAAGTGTATGTAAATTCATAAATTGTGTTAGTTACAGACATTTAGCAAACCAGCTAATGGCTATGCACTGTCATAAAGAACTACAGGCTACCATACTCAGGCTTCAGCAGTTACCATGAGACAAGTGAGATCTGATAGGAGAAAATAAATGCTTCTGATTGATCCTGCTCAGAGGCAAGTGGTTCCTTCCACACCCCACACTGGCAGTTCCTCCACCCCGCGGCAGGTCGCAGGGGGGATCCCGACACTCCTCGCCAACAGCAAAGATCCACTTTGCCCCTGAAGTTTGCATGGTCCGATAGACTCGATTCAGACTTTGTGCCAGACGCCCCACAGTCAAACGAGCGCACCTCGGAGCCCTGCACGGCCGCTGTGCCATCCCACTGCACTGACTCACGGAGGGGGAACCCGAAAGACCGCGGGCCGCTTTCCCCGCCCGGCAACCCCTACTTCGCGGCACAGAGCGCCGGGGGGACCCTATGTGGCGGCACGGTGCAAAGTGGCAGCAGCCGGTGCCGCCGCGAACGGCTTCTCCTCACAGGGACCGCGCGGCCGGCAGCGGGGCTTGAAAACAACCAAGAACGACTCCCCGGCTCCCCGCAGCCCCCGTCCCCGCAGGCGGCGCGCCCCGCCCCGTTGCTAGGGAAGTGAGGTCACACAGTATGGCGGCTCGGGGCCGGAGCTGCTGACGGGTCGGCGCTCTCTGGAATCCGCGTCCATCCTTCTCGGGAGTTGCAGCGGCGGTGCTGCCTGCCTCGCTATCGCTGAGCGGCAGGACTAAGGCCGCGATGGCATCAGGAACCACAGGGCTGTGAGGCAGCAGAGCGCGAGCCTGCAGGGCAGGCGGAGCAACAGAACCGGGTCGCGGACGAACCGAGCTGCCGCCATGGAGCTGAGGGTTGGGAACCGGTACCGGCTGGGCCGGAAGATCGGGAGCGGCTCCTTCGGGGACATCTACCTGGGTGAGGAGGGTGGCTCACCGGGGACGTGCTTGGGGGATCTCTGGAGAGCGTCGGGGGCTGGGCCGGGGTGGGCGCTGGTCGCCCTCCTGCCCGTTCTTACCGCCCGTCGGGATGAGCTGGGAGCAACTCCCGGAAGCTCGTTTCACCCTCGCAAGAGCTCGGGTTACGCTGGTGTCTTAAGAAATGTCCTTTGATATATGGTGGCTTGCTATGGCACAGAAGTAGCAATTTAATATTTCCTTGACGTCGTGTCTTAATTTAGGGAGCGCAGAAATCGGGACTTCTGGATTATTTGTTTGTCTCTCCACGTTGTTGTCTTGTGACCTTGGACACCATTATTTGTCTCATCTGTAAAATGGGGCTATGAGTTTAAAATCTTTGGTCTTTAAAAAACGTTCAGAAAAAGATTTGGGGAAAGAAACACAAGCATCAGCATTAAATATGACTGCAGCGGACTAGGAAAAATTGCTGTCACAGAGATGCTTGTTTCTCTGGCAAGGCCTACAAAATTTAAATGGTAAGGATGACTAAGTTGAGGTTAAAAAAAAAAAAAAACTCAAATCCTTCAAAGAATCAGCAGTTCAGCTATCCTGTTGCTTGAATGTTACCCTTATGTCTTAATGCATGTATCTTATTTTGCTATCATGATTTCTACATGATTTTAAAGCTTGCAGTATTAGTGCTGTCTTTCCATTCCCATTTATGCAGTTCTTTGTCACGATGGTTCACTGGTATGACAATTGGTGGTGGATTCAAGTTCTAAAAAGAAATATATTTAAAATCGTCGATACAATTTTTTAAAAGTGTAAGAAATTTCTTAAAGTGTAAGAAATGGGTTAAACCCAGAGAAATACATTTCTTTATGCTACCGTATAGAAACAAGTATTTTGCATTTGAAAATTGTGGTAACTTAGGAAAGCAAGTCAAGAGAACTGGAGGGGAGGACCTTGCAGGTGCTAAGGTAGGTTAAATTTGCACGTCTGGAGAGTGAAAACATCACCAGCTAATATATGTGGTATGTTTGGCAGTGCACACAGTATACAAATGCTTTTTTTTTTTCTTAGACAACAATGCTTTGTGTCGCAGTGTACATTTGGTATTCTGAAATAATTTGCTAGCTAAAACTGCTTGTTTACAGGTGATGATACACTGGTTATCTACAATACAGATCATGTGCTTGATGAAAAATCCATGTTTCTAGCCAAAGGCAAAGAATGTGATTCTTCCTCTCTGTAATGCTTGCATAAAAGACTGAAAAGTATTGTGAGAAAGATGGTGGTAACATTAATGCAAAATCTTCATTAGCTACCACTGGTGTTTTCAGACAGCAATTAAAATTTGAAAAATCTTACGATGATTTGAGATATTCCTACAGAACCATTTGACTGCTATAAATTAATTCATGTTAGACTATACAGTTAAAGAGCAGGTAAAATAAACATATTTGTACTTTGATTTGTAATCCAAATTAACTGATAAGTAGAAGTCAGGCAACTTGGTTGTTACCTTCCCACATATGGAAGCTAGCATGGAAGTAATAGGTATTTTGTCACTTTAGTCTTTACATGTACAGCCTGCACCAGCAAAGTTGCACAGGAGATAGTAGTTCTCTGTTTATTGGTACTACTGCCATGCTGCATTTTGCACAAGAATTCACCATCCTCAAATTTTGTCATCTTTTTCTTCTTCGGTAGTCCATGTGGATTTACAATTAGGTCTTCATGCAAACATGATGCTTGCCTCAAATTTTGTCCTGTTCTTTTTATCCTTAAGTAGTCAGTATGGGTTTATAATTAGGTCTTCCTGCAAATGGGATGCTTGAGCCAGCAGCTAGCAGAGAATTGTACACCTGGAAGATCCAGCTAGTGGCATGGGTGTCTTTTTCCAGGGGAAAATACTATCTCAAGAACTTAAGTGTTGCAGCACTTTGTAGAGGCCCATTTGGTTTGCCTACCAATATATGATAAAACAGAGGCTTTCAAAATCTATGCTTTTTATGGTAAAGAAATGTGTCTGGGAAAAAAAAAAAAATCTCAATTGTTTGGATTATGCAGTAAGACATAATTACATAAAAATTATTTCTAAAATTCTGTCAGAGGTCAGTTTTTTTTTTTTAAGTGCAAATGCCTCTCAATGGATTTATAGATTTCCACCGTGTAGATTTCCATCTCAGTTTAGTGCTTTGAAAGGGGAAATTTAATTATTGTTTCCTGTTTTCATTTCCCCATATTTCTTTAACACAGCTACAGGGGGTTGAAGACATTCCAGAGAGAAGAGGGGAAGGACCTTCTTTCTTTCTCTTTCAATAAGTTACTTGGAATGTAGAGCCAACAACTTGGTTGTTATTATCATAGTTCTTTCATACTTTTTCATGTTCTCCATCATACCACGAGATACAACTTCTGGAATTTGGAAGGCCCACAGCTTAGCTTACTTAGAATAATAGGGTCTGTAAAATAGCATTTTGAAATGTAAGACACTAAAGTAAATAAAATACCATGGAGAACTTTACGAAAATAAAAGTTAGGAAATGAGTGTATCTGCATTTTTCTGCATTTTCTTAAGTTACTCTCCAGAGGAAGATTTGAAAAAATAGTATGGATTCCAGGATATTCTGTATAGTATAGAGGATGGACAACATACAGAAGAAAAATCAGAGTAAGCATCTGTTTTGTTGCTCCATCCACAAGGTCAAAAAGACATGAGTCATGAAGGCATTATAGTTGCTGTGTTTTCATGTTTTTTTCATTTCCATGTATTTTCTTAGGGATAAACTTTTAGTTGTAAATGAATTAAAATAATCTTCAAGGCCTTCCTTGTGGCAGAGGATTTTGCAATTACTTACAAATTAGAATTTTGCTATTTAAAGTAAAAGACTGACAACTCTAGACTTTTTCTTTTCATTTCCATGAAGTGCCTCTTTTCATTTTACTGCTTACTGCTGCTTTCTCATTACTCATTCTTCTCATAACACTAATTCTGGCTACTGTTCAAGGGTGTATGCAGAAGCAGAGAGCTGTTTAAGGATCTTAGCCCTCTTAGGTGATACAGACTTCTAGGGAAGATCAGATACCATAGGAAATGACCTACTAGGTCAAGACAATGATTTTTCAAGCAGCGGTGAGCAGAACTTCATAGAGATAATACACATCTTCATTCTCCTATGGGCAAGTCTTGTCTTAATCAAACACAGATGTCTGCAGCTGTCTGTATAAAAAGTATGCCATTCAGCAGTTTGTGTCAGAAAAAATTTTTGTGTGTTTTTAATATTTATGGAGGTGGTCACCCATTAGAGAAAAGCAAGAAAGATCCAGAGTTCCATAGTTAAAAATCAAGATATTTGTTTGTTGGCGGTGGGGGGTGGGAGTGTGTTAGTGACACAAGACAGTGCCTTTTTCCTTGTAACATTTATCTGTCCTTTCAAATTTATAGATTGATGTGAACTATAACTCACTTAAAGTCCACCAAAATAATATATTAATAAGATATGAAAACCTTGGGTTATGGAGTTTCTAGTTGCTACTACTGTGTGGTGACCTTAGTAGAAATCAGGAGTTTGGTGGAGTCATAGGAGGCAGATGGATAACGTTGACTACAGCAGGGGAAAATTAGTTTTCTTTGTCTCCCAGATGTGCTGTGATTATTGTACCTACAGTGTGTTTCAGATGCTTTGTTTTCTTAGGGTGCATGGTGAAATGCCTAGTAAATATTGTCTGTGATGTTCTCTCAGAACAGCTCTTTGTACCAGCAACGCCAATTTAATAGACGTGTGAACACACAAAAAAAACATTTTATTGATGTAAAAAAGAACAGATAGCCTTGCATAATCTCAAAGATAATTCCATGCTCCATCAGGTATTATCCAGTGAAGAGCTTGATGAAATAGCTGAAACTAGACAAAGTAGAAATCTGAATTTCAAGGCTGTCTTTAATAAAAATAACAAAAAAAAAAAAAAGGAAAGAAACCTATGCATTTTATTTTTTGTCTTACAAAGGTGCCAAAAATGCATTTTCTGTAAGCATATTTTCTGTTTATTGAACGGTAGGAAAAAACTGTCTCAAGAAGCTTGTATGATAACCTTTTACACTAAGGCTGTGGTGTTGTCTGCTTGGAAGACAAGGTATCCCGTAACACTGTATCTCAGGGAGCCTTCTTTCACATGATATCAAGAATTTGACTTGAACTGACAGTAACGCATGGATACTCCTTCATATCCTTTGCTTCCTCAGAAACTAATGGAAAATGTCAACAACATGTGGGAAAGATTTCAGTGGGAACCTTTATTACTTAAAATAGTAAGTAGGTTACAGGTATCTTTCATATCCAGCAAGTATTAAAGAGCTCATAACATAGTTTCAGTTTTAAATAAGCTTGCCTTGATCTTTAGGTAACAGATCTGCCGGTATTACCCTAATTAACTTTGCTGATGGCAAACAAGAAATAAAACAGCTGTGGCATAAGGCTGAGTATTTGCTTATAATTTAAATGTCGCTTTAAAGGCAGAAAGGGAGGCAAAGAAAAACGCTTGGTTAATACAGAGCTTCAGTTTTATGGAACTTAATTACATGAAGTGCTATTGAGTGTAATCATAAATGAATCCGAAAATGGACGGAATACTGAGGTAACATAGTCGAATGATAGCATGAAGATATGGATATTCATAAGAGTAATTGCCAGCTGCAAGACTGTGGGAAGATTTCAGCATCAGGTGACATGCCAGTGGAACAATAGAGGAGATTCAATGCATATAACTGAAATGTGCCAATTTGTGGCGTGAGGTGTTGGCCTGTCTTTATAGTCACAAGGTTATAAAGCACTGAAGTAGTTCTGTAATCTCAAGAACAAGATTTTGCAGTTATAATTCTGTGAATAAATAACACTCTGAGGGCTATTTTATTCTTAGGTAGTCTCCCTCACAGTTAGATTAAATATTAATTAAGGTGTCAGAATACACCTGGAGTATGTTGAGATTTAGGAAAGTTGTAGGCTCTGTTTCCAAGACATAAGAGCAGATCTGAATTATTAGCATTTCTTAAGTTGGTGGGCATATGTGCTATGCCTACAAACACTCCTTTTAATAAGCGCCTCCACCACAAACCGGAAGTGAAATGACTCCCCTCAAAACATATATCCTTTTTTTTTTTTTTTTTTTTTTTGGTATGAGATGGCAGCCTTTGTCTTCCTGAGCTAATTTATTTAATATTTTTTCTCTTAAACTGCTAGTCTGTTGGAGGGAATTTGTAAGACTTCAGGAGAACTTTCAGATAACCACAGCTCCACAGCTGAAAGTACTTAATCTCTAGATCTTTGCCATTGAGAATAAACTTGTCAATATTTGTTTTCAGTCTTGATAAAGGAAATGCATCTTAACAGTATCTTGGCCAATGTTTTATTTTTTTCCCGTTTTAGGAACTGATATTGCTGCTGGAGAGGAGGTTGCAATTAAGTTGGAATGTGTGAAAACCAAACATCCTCAGCTCCACATTGAGAGTAAAATCTACAAAATGATGCAGGGTGGAGGTAGGCGAACTTTCCTTCCTCAGAGATTGAGTTGTTTGTTTTTATTTTTGTCTTTGATGTATCTGCTACCTGCAAGTAAATAATGGTTGAGAACATTTTTAGCAGACGAGGAGGTGGGAAGGGTGGCAGGGTAGGTGAAGAGCAGTACTGCATAGTAGGGTTTAGCCTGATTTGGTTAATAATAGTAGCACAATTCTAAACTTAGTAAATTCAGGATATTATTTGTTTCATATGCTGGCATTCTTTCTTCTGAGGTAAAAGTATTTTCTTGCTATAAACATTCCAAGACATAATGGCATTAGTAGTAGAGAATAGGACTGAAGAAACTTCATAACTACTGCACAGTGTTACAACTGGGATAACTTACTCATGTTTTCGGAATTCCGCAAATGTAGGATTCTCATTACAGTCTCTGTATAACCTGAATACCCTTCATAGAGTAAAATAATTCCTGTATGGGCTTGCTAAGGCTATGATGGTTCCTTCTGTGGATGAACACTGCAAAGGCAGATGGCAGAAGGTTAAGTAACTGCCAAATAAGGGTTTCTCTCTGAAGGGAATTTAGGAAAAAATCATTCATATTAAATAAATGTAACATGGGTTAATTACAATCTAGGTGACTATATACCAGATTTAAGGTCCATTTCAGTCCAAACCATCTTACAATTCTATAAATGATTGTATACCACTTCACTTCCAAAATGCATAAAATTAAACTCAAAGTAATGGTATTTGAAATTCTGACCGATACTTTCTACAATTCAAGGTTTAATTCAGAGTATATGATCAATTTGTACAGTTTTACGTGAAATAATTTTCCTGAGTTTCTCCGTAAAGTGGAGCTGACTTTAATTTTCCATCTAGAAATACAGCAGTCTAAGATAGATCATTAACAATACCGCTTTGGTAGGGATTCACCAGCAGCAAATGTAATGGAACTGGAGGGAATGCATGAATATGAAGCAAGGGTGAAATTTCTAAATTGTAACAGAAAAGAGGTATTTTACATTGATCTTGTAGGCTTTGAAACTAAGAATTTGATTTCCAAAACTTTCTTTAGCAATAATATGTACTGGTTTGTCAATGTCTTTATTTTCAGGCTTCCAATCTATTCCTTACTGCCATCTTGAAGAGTACTGTTTACACATGTAAAGTGTTTAAGGTTGAAATCCAGCAAAACCACTGTCTTCTTTCAAGATGCATTCTTAGCACAAAGCCTGGGAGGTTACAGGAAAGAAGAAAAAGGCTGTTTTTAGATCTCTAGTTATAATTATGTATTGGTTCAGCTATAAAGTCATGAAACTTTTCAGAACAGCTGGAGGTAGCATAAGGTACATAGGTACATCTTTGCTGTAAATACAAGCATTGACAATAATGTTTATGATGCTTAGAATTCATCTTTATGAGCTTTGGAGATCTGTGTATATGAACTCTATAAATCAAATTATTATACTGAATAAACTGTTTTCTTTGTTCCAGTGGGTATTCCCACAATTAAGTGGTGTGGAGCTGAAGGGGACTACAATGTCATGGTGATGGAGCTGCTAGGGCCGAGTCTGGAGGATCTCTTCAATTTTTGTTCAAGGAAATTTAGTCTCAAGACAGTCTTGTTACTTGCTGACCAAATGGTAGGAAACAATTCTCTTATTCTTGGCAGTGAAATACATTGGGCATATTAAAATTTTTAGAGTAACCATACCAACTGTATTTTACTTCTTTAATTTAGAGGCAATTAGGATGTATAATTGCAAGAAAAAAAAACACGTTTAGAGTTCTTTCTCTAAATATGAAGTGTCACATCAAAAGTAATGGCAAAGATTTAATTTGATTTAAAAACTGGATCTGAGCTGTTTGCAAAGCAGCACTGCTTAAAAACAAAGAAATTCCCCTAAGGAAGTTTTTAAAACCAAATCTAAAATAGACGCTAATCTAAATCTAAGAAAGAGCTGGAGAGAAGGTTTACCTACTGTCTTCTAAATTATACTTTCTGTAATGTCCTTATATTTTTCATTAAAAAATTCTTTACCTGTTTTATCACAAAGACAGTGTGGGTAGTGTTTTTCTAAGAGAAAAAGTGTATGGCTGATCTCTTTGTTGTTTCTCATCTTCTGTATTTAGATTAGTCGAATTGAGTATATTCACTCTAAGAATTTCATCCACCGAGATGTGAAACCAGATAATTTCTTAATGGGCCTGGGGAAGAAAGGAAATCTTGTCTACATAATAGACTTCGGATTAGCAAAGAAGTATCGAGATGCTCGAACTCACCAACATATTCCATATCGTGAAAATAAAAACTTGACAGGAACTGCTCGTTATGCATCCATCAACACTCATCTTGGAATTGGTGAGCTGGGGAAAAGCAATAAGTAGAAACTTAAAAAGTGTAGAAGGGTGATGCACATGCTTTTAGTGTGACTGGATGTTGCTTTATGGAGGCATAGAGGACAGTCCCTATTTCTGGCAATAACAGTGCAGTATGCTCGGGCTCATAACTGTTGGTGGGGTGGGACTTAGTTGGTTTGCAATTCTAAGGAATTAACACATTTTTTAATAACTGCAAGGATAATAGGCTTTTTCTAATGCTGGATGAATTTAACATAAACATAGTAATTTTCATCTACCTATTGTGTTTCTAAGGATTTTTATGACACGTTGCAGACTTGTGTTTTTCCACTAGATAATGAAACCTAATGAGTCCACTTTTTTATGCTGTTGTAGAGCAATCTCGCAGAGATGACTTGGAGTCCTTGGGCTATGTACTGATGTATTTTAACCTGGGCTCCCTCCCCTGGCAGGGACTGAAAGCAGCAACAAAGAGGCAGAAATATGAGCGTATCAGTGAAAAGAAAATGTCTACACCCATTGAGGTTTTGTGTAAAGGATATCCTTGTAAGTTACTCTTTCATGGCACTAGGCCCATGTGTTCATTTTTTAGTGGTATTTCTTTTTTATTTACACTATGTAGTTCGAAGGCTAGCGTGGTATGTGTGATCTGCGCCATATTGTATGTACGTGCATATGTGCTGGCTAGATAATTCCAACAGTCAAATAACTTTTTGAGAAACTGCACATTTCTTCATATGTGTGGATACTGTGTCTTTGATAAATCTGATTGTATACTGAATTGCAGCTTTTACCTGTTGCTGTTTTGTTTAGGATTTGTCATTCCAGATTCATCCAGTTTGGCCTATGGATGTCCAGCATCTGTGAATGGCATAAGAAACCCTCCTGTATCTTAGCATCGTCCCTCAAAACTGTTCTGTTTCTCTATTTAGTATTTACACCACACTAATAATTAGGCATTTTTAAGACATACAAAACAATAAATTTGTTTTAAAACTTGTTAATTTTAGTTACCCTCAGAAAGCATTGTTCATGTTTCATAAAGAGATCTCTGTTCTTTCCTTGCTCTTGTCTTTGGCAACTAGGTATGATAATGAGAACTGTAGTTATTGTTAGGGATGTATGAAAGCTTGTTTTCTTCAGTTTGTTTCAAAAGTAATTTCATATATGTTCCTTTACACTCATTTACTCATTAGGAGTTGGACTCAATTATCCTTATGGGTCCCTTCCAACTCAGGGTATTCTATGATTTACTATTTATTTTCTCTGGGGTTAACAGATGGGGAAGACTAGCCAACTTTTCTTGTGCTGTTTGTTAGAACTCCTTACTTAACGTGAATTATTAATACATTATTTTAGCTGGAAAGACTTGAATTCAAAAGCTGGTAGTTCGATAATGCTTTTTTTTTCTGGAGCACTGAATTCACAACAGCATTCTGTTTTTGCTGTGTAGCTAGTATTTTGTGTGCCATATTAAAAACAAAGAAAACAAACAAAAACCAGAACAGGTGTTCACACTATTGCAAGCTTAAAATTGTAGCATAACTTAGATGGGAGATTTATATTGCTCCCCATTCTTCACCCTTCCTGCCCCTTTTTTTTTATGAGGTAGCAGACACATCTTCATGTAACGTAACAAGGAAGAGATGCTATTCGATGTCCTAAAATAAATTTTAATTTAAATATAGGCAGAGCTAAAAAGGCAAATAAATCTATTCTCTTCTGCTCAAATGAAGTTTTAAACCTGTTTTTACTCTCACTTCACCTTTATTTTTCAGTCCTCTCCGCTGTTGACAAATGGGGTCTTTACCTAATCTGTGATAGACAAATAATTTCCTTTTCAGGCCATACTTGATCCCAACACTTGGGATATAGTGTTGCCTTCAGTAGATGCCTAGTATTAGATGCCTAGGTCAGTATTTTTTTCCTTATGTTTAGATTTTTTTGCTTTTTGTATGGGTCAGATATAAAAAGCAAATGTGAAGCTGAAAGAAAATATGGCTTTCTTGTATTACAGCTGAATTTGCCACATACTTGAATTTTTGCCGTTCTCTGCGTTTTGATGACAAACCAGACTACTCCTATCTAAGGCAATTATTCAGAAACCTCTTTCACCGACAAGGGTTCTCCTATGACTATGTGTTTGACTGGAACATGCTGAAATTTGTGAGTAGTTGGTGTAGCGTTCTAAAACAATTTCTGTAATGATTTTCTTTTTTACTGCATTGTCAGATTTAAAGTCTTAACTGATACTGTAAGAGTGGTTTGTCCCAGAAGATTTGTTGTCTAAAAAATAAATTTAAAAAATCGGGAAAAGCAAGACGCAAGGGAGCCATTAGATTGAGGTTTAATGACAAAGTTGCAGTTAAGAGAGTTAAAAATGTATAAGACTTCTGAGATAACCTCATTCAAGGCAGTTGCCATGTTACCTCACTCTGATTCTCATCCTATCTTGGTCTTCAGCACAGGTCCTTTGCAACTGTTAGATGTCTAGATGCCATAACCATGTGTGTACATTATGTGTACATTTTGAAGACTATCCCAACAGTTAGTTGTATGAACTGAATATATGATAGTTCTTGAGAAAATTTACCAAAAATGTAATACCACAACAAATTTCAATTTATGGGTTGTCCAGTTCTTTATTTTCCACACTTATCCAAATACATAGTTGTAAACTTAATAGTCCCTGAAGTTGTTCACTAGTCCTGACCCGTAGGGTGCAAGCAGAGCGACTGAAGATGCTGAACGTGAAAGGAGAGAACGAGAGGAAAGATTGAGACATACACGAAATCCAGCTGTTCGTGGACTACCCTCCACTGCTTCTGGCAGGCTGAGGGGAACGCAAGATGTAGCTCCTCCTACTCCTCTTACCCCAGCTTCACATGCTGGTAAGTAAGCAGATACTTGGGCAGATGTACTTTGCAGACTGCTCTAATTTGAAGTTAGTTCCTGGTCACTGGAATTTGAAATTAGAATTAGGATACCTGAGTGGTATTTGTCTCTCTATTTACGTTTCATTTTTTTTGCTTGTCTGATCATGTTAGTTTTTTCCCCCCATTTACTTTGCAGTAGATTGAAAGTAATTGTATATATTCATTACATGCCAATTGCTACTTAGAGATAACTGAGGAGGATGAAAGCCTTAATTTCTGTGGTTTGATGTTGACGTTACATGGACAAACAAGAGTGTAATTTTTCCAGTGACCGCAATTTAATCCCATTTCTTATTAGGAAAATTCTAATGTAATTTTTCTCACAGCCAACACTTCTCCTCGACCAGTGTCTGGTATGGAACGAGAAAGGAAAGTGAGTATGAGATTGCATCGTGGTGCCCCAGTCAATGTTTCATCATCTGACTTAACAGGCCGACAAGATACTTCTCGCATGTCAACTTCGCAGGTAAGAAAGATTTTTATGTAATGGAAAAATAATGGTGATTTGGTAACGTTAATTTGCCAAAAGAACATACCAGCCAATTGATGTTATTTCACATTGATTTTATAGTTGACTGAAATAAATACTTGAAATTTTACCTGAATGTTTGTGATGTTGCTGTAGAATATTGTAATTTTTTTTTAACCTCAGCAGCGATAAGTTTAACATTCTCAAAGCCGTATGGAGTCAGTGGTTTATGAAATCATGCAAAAAACTAGAGATCAAGAATTTTTACCTAAAATTACAGTTCCTTTGGTCATTGAATATCATATCAGTTTTCACTTAAGAAGCAGAGCAAGTTGGAGGCAGTTGTGAGAGTCATGTTTTCAAATGAGTAGCGCAGAGAATATTGGTACAGAATAGACAAGAAATAGTTGGTAAAGAATAAGAAAGAGCAGAAGTCGAAATGTAGTGCACTACTGTAATTCTGAGCAGAAAAGAAGCCACATGCGTAGATGATTGAGAGGTCACACACAGTAGGCTCAGTTGAAGAGGATGACAGGAGGAAGAATGAATGATACAGTGTTTCATAGCCGTTGTCTGCACTGAAGTCATTCTCTTTGGTCATGGTGACTTAGCAAAGAGATTTTAAGATCTTGTTTTTAGGATTGGAAAATTATGTTTAAATGTATTTTAGCTCTTCATGCTACAGCTGAAACATTAATTCTTCAGGGTATTAACACAGACTTGTCCTAAGTAGTGGGTAGCCTAGCTTTGAACAGCTTACCTTCGGTCTTACCTGCATCACACTGATACACTGCAACAGCACTGGGAGAGCAGTGTGTTAGGAGGACTGGCGCAGTTGCCTACAGTTTTTTTCCTTCATGCCTCAGCACTATGCTGAAGATTTAACTGCATAATTCTTGCTGTGGACTGGTTATTCCTTGTTGACAGAGAGTATTGATAAAAATGAATGCAGTTTCTTCTGGCTTCATCATTTCATTGTCAGAATTAATTATTTTGGATAATACATGTTCTTATGTATAGTTTTAGTGCTAGAGAGGGCACTCTTTTTGATGGAGGTGAGATAGTAAGTGAAGACTGAGGGTTGATTTGGTGTATGGATGCTATGTTCTGGCCTGCAGTATAAATCAAAAAGAGGTCAGTGAAAGGATGATGGAATCAGATACAATACAAATCTGGAGCTGACTGACTTCATTCTCTTTCTCAGAATAAAATGAAAACGTGAGATAGGTTGTATTTGCAAAAAGAATGCAAAGATGATAATTACCAGTGTCAGAGAGGTGTTTTCTTTTTAACCAGTTTCAAAATGCTTTTAAGAAAGAAGGAAATTTACTTCCCTGACCTGTGTTATAGCAGGAATAGAAAGAGCCCGACAGCTGAATGAAAAGTTGGAAACAGTGTAAAAACTATTTCAGTGCTTTTTAGGCATATCCGCATCAAAGAGGTCCAAGTGTAGAAGGTGCCATGTATCCCTTTAGAAATGGTCCTGGTAGGAGATTAGATTTGGTTAGTCTGAACTTGTCTTAAATTCTTTTGTTTTATTAATGACTTGTGTACGTGACATTTTTTTCTGAATGTTGTAAAGTATGAGAAATACAGAGGGGCTCTCACAGAGCGTACTGTGAGATTGTGTAGGAACATGGGGCTTTTGAGTAATCTTTGAATACACAGATGTATAATTTGTGGCGTGTGTCAACAGTATGGTCTGGCTTTCTTGCACATTTCAGTACCTGTTTAACACTCTGCTCCGAGTATGGAATTTGACTTCTTTACAATTCCAATAATGGACTAGTCAGGAACTTCTCAGGTTAAAATTTATCATTAATCCTTTGTCATCTTCATTTAATTCTTACTGAGGCAGTGAACAGCTGCTGGTCTCCAGTTGTGGTGGCTGAATAACAGTATTCAACAGTAGTATAATTCTAAAAGCCTCTCATGGGCCTCTCAGATTTGGAAGGCAAGAGAGATTTACTTAGATTTTACTTTATAACACTTACCTGTGAGCTCATTGGAGACAATTTCAGTTTTCATTTTCACAGTTCTCACTCGAGCCATCTGGCCTTCTGTGGACTAAGTTGCAAGTCTACGTAGCTTATGCTCTTACTGTTTTCATAATGTTGAAGTAGTTTTTCCATAGGAGAAAACTATCTTTGCATGTTAGCCAGGTTATAAAATAGACTATGGATTTCCCATTGTCTTTATACCTTGTTCTTAGGAAAACCTCAAGTATCTAACTTGGATGTCCTGTTAAGGACAACTTCTTTTTTGAGTAGGTGTAAAGCATGTAGAAAAATATCTATTCCATGTCATATCAGGAAAATAGTAAAGAAACGCAACTGTTTGTCCATGCCTGTTCCAATTATATTAGTTTCCTTTCAGAGTCTTAAGAGACTATGTGACCAGTGTCCCTTTTTCAGGAAGTGCTTAGACCATGCTCCAAGTAGAAAACAACTTTTAAACTTCACTATTCAGATCTACAGATGTCATAGGTTAAGAACTAGATTTATTAGAATTGTTATTTATAACTTGATTAATTAGTTTTGTTATGTTATTTGGATGGCTTGGTTTGGTAAAGCATCACTGCGTCTATAATCTCCACCTCTTCATTCAGAGGAAGAGCTAATGCTTGTTAAACTCTTGCGAATGGAAATTTGCTGACGTTACTCGATCAAGTAGAATTCTTAAAGATGACTCCATGTTTGTATCTATCTTTTTTTCAAACTGAGTTTTGACCAGTTTGTACTGAAACTGAAAACTAAGGCTGGGAATGTAGATAATAGAAACCAAACTTACATTACAGAAAAGAGCTCTTTGAGAAGTTTAACACTCATGGGAAAAATGGTGATTGGTAAAGATAGCAAAACAGATGTCATACATACTCTCCACCTCCAATGCTTTGACCACATAGTACCTAAATCATTCCAGTTGAAAATACTAACACTTTGTAATAATACGTAAGAAGAGTTCATTCAAATAACAGTTAGTATGTCTCCAAAAGGGTTTATGGAACTTAGTGTTTCTGGTGAAATGACATACGTGTAAGTTCTGTGACAGTACTTTCCTGATGATGCGGGAGTGAATGCAGCAGCTGAAAACCTGCAGGTTTTGAGATGTTTGACAGTGATAAACATTGGTGAGAGTTGGGCAGTCATGTAAATCCTAATCAAATAAAATACATATTAAAGCAAGACTCCAAAACCTAAAGAGCATCAAGGAGTGAAGCCGATTGGCTACTATGGGCATCAATCACAGCATTGGTAGCCAGTCAGGGGAGGTGATTGTCCTGCTCTACTCTGTGCATTTGCAGCCTCACTTCAAGTACTGTGTTCAGTTTTGGGCACCACAGTATAATAAGGACATAAAACTATTAGAGAGCCTCCAGAGGAGGTTGACAAAGATGGTGAAGGGTCTAGAGGAAAGGCGTATGAGGAGTGGCTGAAGTCACTTGGATTGTTCAGCCTGGAGAAGCAGAGACTGAGGGGAGGCCTCGTGGCAGCCGGCAGCTTCCTCACAAGGGAAGCAGAGGGGCAGGCACTGATCTCTGCTCTCTGGTGACAGCGACAGGACCCAAGGGAATGCATGGAGCTGCAACAGGGGAGCTTCAGGCTGGGTTTTTGAGTAGTCCTGTGCAGAGCCTATTGAGTTGGACGCAATAATCCTTGTGGGTCCCTTTCAATTCAGGATGTTCTATGAGTCTGTGATTTGTGGGAACTATATTGGTGATGAATGATGACTGAGTAGGCTTTGGGTGTAACTTTGGAGAGGTTGGTGTGATGTCACAATGAAGCGGAGTAATTTCATCCTTGAATGCATATATAATGCAGTAATGAACAAAATTAGGGAGGTTATTTTATATCATTCATGAGACAGATGCTGTAATATTATGTCCAGTTCAGTTCTCATTATCTTGATCTGCCGAAAAACTGAAAGTAACAGAACAGCTGTAAAAATTGTGCTTGAGAAAACATACTGTACGATACTGGAGTTTCAATTCAGTGTCTTTCAGTTTGAAAGATAAGAGATCATCCTGAGGTAGTTGGGAGTAGTATCTTAGCAACAGCAGTTAGAACAGGAAGCTCAGTTTATATAGAATATATACATAAAGCACCTGTCGCTTAGTATTAAAAGCGCTCGTGTTTAAAGAAGTATGGTGGTGCAGAGTTCTAAGTGAAGGCAGGTAGCTACTGAAACAACTTCTAAAAGACATACAGGATCTTCTGTCCTCTTTGTCTTTGCATCAAAACTGGATTCCTTTTTAGGTGGTGTATTCAGGTCCAAAGTAAGCCTAAATTACTAGTCTCAGTGTAGTGAAGAGTTGTGATCTGGGCTGGACAGAAAGTCATACTAGCTGTTAAAATATTATTCTGCTCTTAAGCTGTATAAATGAATTGTTTGCTAAGTCCTTTATGTAGTCAGTCTATAAACATTAAGACACACAGTGAAGGAAGGCATAAATATTCCAGAAAGCACTACTTTGAAGCAGTTCTGTCAGTCCAGACTGCACAGGCTGCTTCCTGAAAGCATGAATATGCAGTGCTCAACTCAAGAATCTAGTTACAGGTGAGTAGCCTTCATTTCCTTTCACAGAAGGTTCAGTCCTGAAAACAAACAAACAAACAAAAAAGAAAATTACTTCAGTTGGACATGGTGTACAGTAAGTTATTTTATTTATTCCTCTTGAATGTGTCCTGTTCAGCCATTTTCAGCACCTGACAGTTAAAGCTGTGCACAATTCCTACTGGTAATAGACATATCTCTCCTTAGCTGGAAGAAGAGATTGGAGTGCTCCTCAAAGAAATATTTGAGCAAATATCTTTGAAAAGAGAAGCTTTTGGAAAACCATAGCAAACACTGGCATTGAACAACTCAAGTGTTGCACCCACTGGGAAAAAGCAACGTTCTTCCAATGCCTTTGCATTTTTCATCTCCTCATGAGTGAATCTTTCTACACACATGCGTCTTAATAGGCATCATACTCTGCATTGTTCTTCTGACCCTGT